GTTTTTATGCCGTTGGTTTTTGTGATCTTTTGTGGGTAGTGCGGTTTTTGCCGCCGGGTTTCATAGTGTTCCCATGTGGGAACAAAAAGCGGTCTTTGCAAGATTGCAACACGCACACCACTAATGATGCACACCTCATTTGTTCACTTATGACACCTCGCACAAAAATATCCAAGTTCTTTTGGAAATTATTCGGAGTGACAATCGATGTCGTTGATCTGAGCTATTGCCGCAGGATCGGAAGCTTCGATTTTTTTAGAATTAGTTTTTTTCCGACGAAATTGCAAATTGTATTCAATGATGCGTGTGCGACTTAGGACTTTAGCTTTGAACTTGGTTATAAGAAATGGTGATTAGTACAGGTATGGAATTTACGAAAAACTGATGGCAAAGCATCAAAACATCGTTAGAGTTTCATCGCAGGTACTAAAATAGTGTTTTTGAAAAACCTATGTACAATTATCCGTAATTTTTGTACCCTATATAGTATTTTATTTTTACTGGAATGGATTATCACAAGATTCATTATTAGAAGTAGAGATTCTCTGATTGTGTTGTAGCGCCCTATTGCTGTACCCTTTATTTTAGATCTCTGATTAAGTCCAACGTTCTTTTGGTGCTTAATTATTATTTATTAATTATCAATTTCATTTTCATCACCTTTAAACATTTTTCTTGAGCTTTCAAATTTGTTTTCCATTTATTGAAATTTGCATGAATTTAATTCCAAAATAATATCTTATTCATTATCGGAATTCACTGAAAGTGCAATTTCTATTAACCACTTCATTGCATGGGCTGAAGCTCACATAACATTTACTAATAAAGCGATTATCACGCATGTGCCCCGACGTACCAACTTTTGGTTCAACAATCCAAATCAGTTCAAATGGTATGCATTTCAATGTGTGACGGCATGACATATTCATTCCACACCCCTTTACATGATATGCTAATTCCACACACCCATTAACATGACACGATAATTCCGTACCCATTGACATGACATGAACATGTCACCCCATTGACATTCATGCTGTAATCATGTGCACTTGTCATGCTTTCTTAGCTCTTCTGTCAACAATGAAAAAAACCTCCATTATCCTACAAACTGCTCGATTTTTGCCTGTACTAAACGCTGTCGTCTGTTGGAGCGAACATTATACTCTTGTTAACAGGGTCTTTTTTGACCAAACTAGAAAAATTGCGTTTTTTCCTCGGTCTCTTGCATTGGTTGCAGTGAGATTTTTTCATAATAAACAATGCTGCTTTTACAGGCCAAGGGTAAGATTTTTGAACACAAGTTATTCTTACTCCGCAGGTTTTTTGCTGACCTGACAAAAAACGCTTCCTATTCATCGCGCTGCACTCGGCAAATAAAAGTTTTTTATGACCAGGCGTGCAAAAGGTTGCATGGCTAACGGAGATGTCAAAACTGTCCAAGTTTCAGCTCTAAATTGCCAAGAAATGTAACTCGGTCATTTCTTCTCAATGTTTTCTTCTTGTATTGAGGGGAGAATGCTGGATCCCTAAGTCCAAAGTGCGATCGCATATTTTATCAACGTAAAAATCTTCCAAGCCTACTGAAAATTTTTTATGCTTTATTTTAAATCGTATATATTTGTAAAAATAAATCTTTTCGCAAATTATAAGCCCGTTTTATTGCGAATTCATGCCAGTCCCGATGTATTAAATCAGGCACACGATGACAAGACATTCAATACTTTATCGTGCGTATATTATGAATTACGAGACGAATTTCTTCTTTCGTTGTTAAAAAAACAGGGTATAAATTATTTTTAAATTAAATCGCCACTTTATTACTAATTTTTTTAAACTCTGAAACTCTCGTTCGCTTTTCATAACATGAATATTGCGTTAATTTCTTTCAGGTTTACGACGTACTTCAATTCCAGTACCAATAATTGATTATAAAGATAATATGGGAGACGCACTTAATTGTTATGTATTCTTTAATAATTCAATCATTTGAGGAAACTAGTGACCAATAAAGTCCGGAGATGATGACCTCTTATATAAGCACTTTACTTGCTTAGCTTCCCAATTACGAAGCTGAACTGAACAATAATGTACTGCTGTCTCGTGAGCTGATAAGTCGTTTGTTCGTCCCAGTCAATATATGTATATAATTCTTATCTTTTCTAAGATAATTGCACTTGGAAGACTGTTATTTGGGTTTGAGTTAGTTGTGATTTTAATTTGCCGGCTACAGATTCCCAACATTTCTCGCACTGGTGTGAGCAGCCTTCCGCATTTCTTCAAATCCACATGTGAAGATAAGCTGACTCCAACCTCTAGTCAGATGCAGAGACAGCCCACGAGGTAGACAGTTATTAATTAAATGCAGAGACAGCCCACTATGCAGAGAGACAGCTCCAACCTCTAGTCAGATGCAGAGATGCAGAGACAGCCCTTCTTACGACTGCCAACTACGCAACACCTTCACGCTTTTTCCTCCACATCCACGTTAAATGGAGTGAGACTTCCAGCGGCGTCTCGTCTGAGGTGGCAGCCTAACAAAATTGAGAGTCGCCCCAGCTTCTGGTAATCCAAATCAGAAGCTGACGCGTCTGTAAATTTTCACTGGGTAACATAATTTAGAGTCGTCCCAGCTTCTGGTAATCCAAATCAGAAGCTGACGCGTCTGTAAATTTTCACTGGGTGCAGCCTTGAGGTGCGAGGCGATCTGCGAGAGCTGAGGAGAGGGCCGGATGCTGCAGGTTGGTTATCCATCACTAAAGCTCAGGGTGTTGTGGCAATTTGTAGCTCCGGCCGGTTTCCATTATGGATAACCGTCTGCCCTTCACTTCTCCCAACCCAGATAATAAAACCCTCCTTGTCTTCCAGCTGAATATATATTAAATACCAATTTATCATTGCCTCTTAATTTTAAAATGACGATACAGTTTTAGACGCATAGCTGCTAGGTCCGTAAATTTAATCATTTCCCAATATTTGGACCCTAATATTCAGCGTTCGCTAATTATCTATTACATAAATTGGTTTCTTTTTATTCATATCAGTTGGCCTTTATTTGACAGGATGAGCGGCACGGAACTTTGCGCGCCAATTTCTCTGTGCTACCTGGCTGGCTACCTGTGCTTTCCATCTTTAATTGTTGTTGTAATTAAATTTTCCTTCAATGAAAAGGAAGGTCGCGCTAAAGTTTCGTACACATATTAGAAATTGTATATCAAATTGTTGAAAATTAAATTAATTGTATAAAGTAATCTTTTTAAAAAATTAAAATATTTGAAATAAAAAATGTAAATGTTCCAACTTTCTTAGAAATCAGAAAGAAGTAGCTTATTAGTTATTGCGACCTGATTTTTCCACAATAGGAGCTCGAGGACCGCCGCTGGTTATGCTAGCGTGTCAGAAATCGCACTTTCCTCTTTACAATTTGAATCATCATCTTATCCATCAGCATGCCTTTTTTTACTTCTTAAAAGATTAGCTCAGTTAATTCACATTCAAATTTCTCAGACTTGGCCGGGTCATAATACCTCAGACTCGGCCGGGTATATCAATCAGCTCAGCGAAAATTTTTCAAAGATTTCGCAGTCATAACCAAATGTATCCGTTGCCAACCAGAATCGCCTTTAACTCGGAAACCGAAACGTTCCAAATGAAGTGCCTGCCAGAAGCAGTTAGTCTCAAAAAGGAACTAGAAGCGTTGGAGGAGTCTTTAAACATGGAACATAAAGTTTGCAGTTCGAAAAAATCGAGCTTCAACGAGATGACCAGAGAATGACGCTCAAAGTGCAGATAGCAGAGCAATAAATGCGCGACGCTCGCGAGATGTTGCAGGCCACGAGAATGGCCAAAAAAGCGACTCTTAATTCTCGTGTTGATCGGCAATGCCGGAGCTAATGAACGAATCCAAAATATTGAAAAGGAAGGTAAACGTCAACTTCGACTATGATATCTTGATTTCCTGTTCAAATTTTTTGGATTCGTTCAAAAATTTTCGCAGAGCGGATTGATATACCCGGCCGAGTCTGAGAAATCATGACACTAATTCTGATAACAACCATAGCAAAAATATTCTGGTAGCATAGAATGAAAAGCTAATCTAGCGTTTTTAAATCAATTTCAGCAGCTTTTCGGTAGAACAAATTACGCCTCAAACAATGCCTTCCTGCCGTAATAATTTAGCGAAATGTCAAATTTTCAACCTGTGAAAACCAGTGCAAACGGTGGGGCATCTTGAATTAATTTTATTATGCACAGAGCAGCAAAAATCATTCCAATCTTCAACTTTAGCCAGGCTCGCCATGAATACAATTAAGAACGACGATCAAATATTTTATTGGATACCTATGTATATATTTATTGGATACCAATTTATAATAGCCTCTCATTTTTAAGATGACTATACACAATGTTAAGTGCATTGCTGCTAGGTCCGTAAATTTAAACCAATATTTGGACCCTAATACTCAGCGTGCGCTAATTTTCTATTACATAAATTGGTTTCTTTTCATTCATATCAGTTGGCCTTTATTTGACAGGATGGGGAACTATGCACGTCTGAGATCATTAATGTGTTCCCATGAACACAGTTCAGAATTAATAAATACTTAACTCTGATTCGTTTCCTTTCCATCTTTAATTGTTGTGATAGTTAAATTTTCCTTACACTGAAAAGGGAGGCCGCGCTAAAGTTTGTAGAATATTTAATGCGTCTATACCCCAAGTTCTCATAGTACACTATGTAAAATAAATGACTTGGTCATATCATTTTGTTACCCGCTTTCTTACTCACAGCACGACCAGATAGCGGGCTTCCAATGAGGCAAACGACGTTGAAACAACGTTTAGTCAACGTTGACTCATCCAACTACGTTAATTTCAACGTTGATTCAACTTGGTTTGCCTGGTGGGATATAACTATCACGCCATTTTTCATGGCAAAGCTGGGGCAATATAACCCAAACCATATACGCAAAAGTGAACCAAGTTTTCACTCACTTCTCTTAGGAAATTTTCTTCACAATCACACCCCCCATGTTAACCCCCGTTAGCCCCTGTCCTAGCCCCTCAGTCCCCCCCCCATGCCCCTGGGCAGGTGAGGGCAGACCTTCAGCCCATCGACCCGTGATGACTTCGATCAGGAGGGAGGCGTTACACTCAGAGGAATAAGTGAGATTCTGTCCAAATAGGCGTTAAACTTAGAGGAATAAGTGAGATTTTATCCAAATAGGCGTTAAACTTAGAGGAATAAGTGAGATTTTGTCCAAATAGGCGTTAAACTCAGAGGAATAAGTGAGATTTTGTCCAAATAGGCGTTAAACTCAGAGGAATAAGTAAGATTTTGTCCAAATTAATTAATTCATTCACCAATTCCTCTCTACATTCACCCTTTTCCTCCAACTCCCTCAATCATTCAGTCCCCCGTTGTTCGCTGCCCCACCTTCCTACTCTTCCCCATGCACCTCCTCTTGAAACCACAGCCTCCCCTATCCATAGCATTCCTTTATTCACGTCGACAGCAGAGGAAACTCTCAGTAAACTTCCAAAGTAACCAGTAATCATTTTTTTGAAAATCATTCAATAAGTGAACAGATTAATATCACGAATATAATTAGAATAGTTTTATCGACATAAACTATAGTTTCCTGGCTTTCTTCAATGTGCGTAAATAGTTTTGAGCCGGCTATTATTTGCGTAAGAAACTAAATAATCGTAGTTGCAAATAATCATGAATAGTCTAAATGATCAGAATAGACCAGTGGACACTGTTCGCAGTGCACTGAATTTCTCCCATCGGCAGCAAACGGTTTATGTACTAGTGAAAAATAAGCCGCTGTCTGCAGTGAAGATGAGAAATTTTGCGGTAACTGAGGAACTCGAGAGATTTTAAAAAGTAATGAAAATGTATGCCTCGACGTATTGACATGAAGTTATGGTATTTATGCTCGAGCATTCGTAGTAAATCGTTCGTAGTAAATCTTCGCAGTAAATCGTTCGGTAATTATAAGTTTATTTTTACAAGTTCTACACAATAATGGACGCAAAATGAATAAGAAATTTTTATCAGTACAAATGGAGACAGTGTGGACAGTATGCGTGGAGAGTGGAGGAGAATGCGCAGCCAGACGACGGATGGCCGGCCAACTTTGGACTGAGGCAGAAACTCGAGCGAGCGAATTTTACAAGCGGCTGCGGCCCGGGCTCGATGCTGAGTTCCGCGACCGCTACCCCAGACTCTTAATGGTTGATTTCAGGTTGAAATGTTGAACATCCAAAATTAAACGTCAAATGAACGTTGAAAGCTGACCAACTCCAAAAGAGACATATAAAACATTGTTATTTAAACGTCAATATAACGTCCATATTGAAAAGAAATGCTATATAAACGACGTTGAAATTTCCAGGTTGAAATACTTAACAACCAAAATTAAACGTCATGTCAACGTCGAAATTTGGCCAATATTAAATGAGATGCTAGACAACCTACTGAGAGAACGTTGACTCTCAATGAGAACGTTGACTCTCAATCTATTTTCCAACGTTGAACCAACGTTTATTTCAGGTTGAACAGTTGAAAAACCAGAATTAAACGTTAGTTCAACGTCGAAATCTGACCAACACTGGACGAGACGAAAGCAAAACTTAATAAAAATTTTGAGTTGGTGGCGACCCTGAATTAGGAACCATCTAGGACTCTGACTGTACGTAAATCAGCTTCTCATATATGTCCGCTTTTTTGTCTAACATCCGGTCCCCGAATCAGGCAGATACAAGCGCCTGGTCCTTATTCTGCCAACACTTGCCCTACTCTCAGGAGACCATAAAGTCGGCAAGGAGGTTCTGACAAGACGCTGATTGCGATCAGTTGGCCAACCAGACCCAGAATAACTCTAACGTGAACATATAGCAACTCTTGGGCGGAGGCTGAAGCGTACCCAGAATTTTGTTAGGGTATTTCAACGTTAATAATAAAGTCGATATGGATACGTTCAATGTTGATATATTTTTAAACGTTCAATAAGGTTGATTCCAAGTTTGGCTCAAGAAGCCAAACAATTTTTTATATTAGGGTAACATGGGGCAGCGAGCCCATAGCGGGTTTCTACCTCGTATCAATTAAAACTTCATCAAATATTTGGTTTAAAAAAAAGTGGAGGGCGCGCTGCCCCATGTTGCCCTACGTTGGTAGATCAAAAGGAAGGTTAAGGTTATGCAGATAATAATAATTAAAATATTAACGACGTTTCAAATGTAACTATAACATTCGTTTACAAGTTAAGAGAACCATTGAACAATGAAATTCTATAGGACATAATTATGCCATTAAAAAAGTATCAAAGTATTAAAAGTAAAGTAAAAAAGTAAAAAAAGTACGTGAAGTAAGTAAAGTAAGGAAGCAGTAAAAGTATTGAAAGTATGCAACACAAATATTTCGAGCTAGGAATTCCCTCCGCAAACAATCTTATAGTTTATGAAAATTTGGTAGTTTGGAAATAGAATTAATGTTAATTTCATTTCATTTACCTACTTCCACACGACCAGCTACTTTTAATGGGAAATACGTACAGCCTTACGCAGCCTATGTGTAGGTAAATGGCATGCAAGTGCGGCGGCATATGCATGTTAGTGGCGTATAAGTGTTATATGCATGTTAGCGGCATGTTTAACTACCGGATTTGTCTGAACTTTGAGATTGTTCACGAAGGGACTCCCTCGCTAGAAAATTTTGTATTTTGTACTTACACGTGTCCAACAAAATTTAATCCTTGTTTTCAAGAAGAATATGCATTTTTTAACTTAAAAATTGTCTCGTAGAAACATGAATAGAGTTTCTCAAATCATTTGCACAGATATTGATGCCGAAAAAATCTCCTGGAGAAACATGAGTTGGAATTAATTCAACATCCTCATTCAATAATTTGAATTGAGGAATAATTTCAATACTTGAAAAATTCCCTTTATTTCTCCCCCTAAAATCAGGCATAATATCACATCATATTATTCTAGTTTTTTTATGATTAGGAAAGTTTAGTAATGGTTACTGACATAAAAATAAGATAATAATAGCATCTGTCTATATTATTCAATGCAAACAGGACCAGTGCGATTATCAAGGTACTTTATTTAACAATTGAAGCTCAGAAAAGTCATCCAGCATCGAACGGTCCTTTGTGAATGCACAATATAACTAATAAATTCTGGAACATTTATTTCCCTGTCAAGAAATGAAATTAGTTTCGATTTTTGTCGATTTAGTTGGTTGCGTTTCCACGAAGATGACGTTGTTTAAGCTTTGTAAACCCATAAATAACATTTGTTTGCCGCCAAGATTCCGTGAGCGGCTCTCGCGGCAGGTACAAAGGCACAGTGTACCTAGCCTTATTGGCGGTGAATTTCCCGCGTCTCGAAGGCATTGGAACATTTCTGCGAGACGGTGCACAGCGTTAACATTTCTCGACGTGGTTTACTACATTTCAACAAGCGAATCTGGTCAAGAAGGATCTCGTCATAAAAACTTGGTATTTTTCTCAGATTTGAAGATATTGTAGAAATAGCTGTTGCCAAAGATTCATTTTTATATTATCAGTTTTCTGTCACAGTCAAATTACCCACATGCGCTCTAGGCCTGTAGCCGCCAGCTTCATTATTACCAAACAGAAGTAATGACCCACTATTACAAAATATAAATTTAGGAATCTTTTACCCTATAAGTTTTTAGTGAAATAAAAGCTTTGAAGTTCTACAAGGGAAGACCACCGCGTTTATTTCATTAATTACTAATAAAGTTCAATTGAATGTGAGTGACTTTTGAAAATAACTATTTAATTATAATAAAAGAAGGCACTCTGAATTTGCATTTTGCGCTTGCCGCCAGCAAGAACAGATAGACCAGTGGGATAAGATAAGATGATAACTTATCCATGATAAGCGGCTGCAAATTCAATTCACTTGAGACTGATGTTTAAATAAGTGCAAGTAATGAAAGGGGACTTTGTAGCCTTCCTTTTTGAGACCTATTAGTAGATGAGTAATTATCAAGGCTACTAGACTTGGATGAGTTAATTGTGACTCATGAAAAGTCCACGACAGTGTTACTTACCAAGATTTTTTTGAAAATTGAGCACCAGTATGCTGAATCTAGAGCATAGCAATGCAGAGATTTTTTAGAATCGGTTCATTTTACAACACTTCTCTTTAACTTTACTTCTTGTTGTTTGTTCGTTTGCTTGTTTGTCTGCTACAAATCTTATATAATCGACATTTAGCATACTTCTACGTCTCCAATCGATCTGAAATTTTGCACACTTGCATAAAATTGGAGACAATGCATGAATAAATTGGCAGAATAATTAATTTTACAAATATAACTTTTTTTAATATTAAAAAACGGAAAAAAATACTTTTGTGTTCTACAAATTTTATGATCGATATTTAACACACTCTACCTGTCCAATCAATCTGAAATTTTGCACACTTGCGCAAAGTCGGAAACGATGCATGAATCAATTGAGAGAATATATAATTTTGAAAATTAAAAAAATTCATTAAGTAATTTTTAAACGCATATTATTTAATTTCACCATCTACTAAATATTTTAGTCAATTCCTTATGTATGATAATGCTGATATTTAAGATACTAATCTGTATAGGACTCAAAAAAGAACTTGAAGAAGGGCAACAGAAAAAATGTCATCCATTGCCCTCTTCAAATTAAATTATTAAATTAATTTGAAGTCACCTCAAATTAAATTTCCTCATCTACAGAAAATACATTCAATATCTTATGCATGAAAATTCGGGTAGTGGTAGGACTTACAGTGGAAATTCTGGATAGGTAATATATTCTCAGATTTTAATAAAAAATTAATTGGAAGGCCTACCACGTTTCACTTCCCACCACTATATGCCAAGATGTAAACTGAGTGTGGATATCCGTGCTGTCATTCTCGATTATTATCAGTTGTTTATCTATATATGAACCATTTATGATATGAATATGTTCGGAAATACAATTACATGTGTATGCAAATAAATGTTAATTTCAATTCCTTATGTTCATGGTTACACACATCAATCTCTTGTATTTCACTTATTTCAGTCAATCACTTCTATCGTCATCCACTGTTTTGGTTTCAATAAAAATTTTTTTCTCCATTTATGTATTCATTCATATGC